CTCCTCCTCCTCCTCCTCCTCCTCCTCCTCCTCCTCCTCCTCCTCCTCATTCATCATCCTTCTCTCGGGATCCACCAAAGTGGGGTGACCCTGAGGGGGAGCATGAATTCGATCCGTTGATACGCCGAACTGCCGCGAACAGATGCTTCCCGCATGCCGCACCTATCGGCAGCCATCGGAAGCTGACGGCGGCTGGGGGCATCTGTTTTGGGCCGGTTCGGTGCAGCTACGGATCGATCTCACAAACGTATATATATATATATATACACATACATACATATATATATATATATATATATATATACACACACACCGGGGCACACATACACACACTCTCTGTGGGATCCCGATCCTCCTCCGAGGAGGACGGGTGCAGGGGGGGCATAGCGGCCATATCCACACACACACAGAGAATTACGGTCGTAGCGGCGCGGCGACTCGCCAGCGCGTCGCGCGCCCCTCGCGGGATGCGCAGCGCCGAGGAGAAGAGGAAAGGCGAGGCGGCTGGCTCCTCACGGGGCGGTGGCCCGGGGCGGCGGGCAGACAGCGCAGTGCAGAGGCCAAGGCGGCCCAAAACAGGACGGCATGGGGCCAGCAGGGCAAGGTGATGTTGCATCCTCGTGGGGCCTTGTCTGTCCCGTCGAGGCCCTATCCCTCATCGAATCCGTGTCGAATCCATGTCGAATCCGCGTCGAATCCACGCCAAATCCGCTTCGAGCCCGCATCGGGCCCGCGTCGGGCACAAGAGAAGACACCAATTTTGGGGACAGGCGAGGTCCCCCGAAGATGCAACGTAAGGAAAGGAGGGCCAAGCAAAGCGAGAGAGAAGCGAGGAGCGAGGAGCGACACCAAACCGCCGAGAGGAGAGACGGACACGGACGGAGGCGAAGGACACGGGCCGATCGACGGAGGAGGGGGAGCCGAGCACGAACACACACACACACACACACAGTCACACACATTCACACGCACACACACGCACACACGCACACACGCACGCACGCACGCACGCACATACGCACGCACGCACGCACGCACGCACGCACGCACGCACGCACACACACACACACACACACTTTTTCGTCGGCGGCGAGGCAGGATGGCTGCAGCGATAGTGCTGAACGGGGGCACCGAAAGGCGAATTGGCCAGCGTGCAGGAGAAGGGAAAGGACGGACAGGGCGGCCACGGAGGGAGGAATAGGCGGGGCCACCCAAAGGCGAAAACACACACACACACACATACACACACATGGTCCTCACCCCTCTCTTCGGGCGCGGCCCAGCCGACCCCTTCCGTGACAAAGCCCTGCCGCGACGAGCCCCTCGCCCGCCAGCCTCCTCTCCGGCCGCCTGCACGCGTCCTGGAGCGAGGCGAGGGGGTCGGTACGGAAGCGGTCGGTTTGCTCGGGGTCGGTTGGGCCGCCCATGATCTCTTCGACGCCCCGGAAAGATGCGAGAGCCTCGCCCTCCTGCGAGGCCGGGAGGGAGGAGACCAGGCCAAGAGAAGAGCGAGCTTCAGCGCCGGAGGAGCCAAGGGAGGGTTGCAGCGCGGCGGCTCGACAGGGCGGGCGCCTCCGAAAGACGCTGCCCTCGGTGAGGTTCAGTACCATGGAGCAGGCGTCATTCTTGAGCAAATGACTGCAAGTCGGCGGGGTTGCATCTGCCGCGCAGACAACGTCTTCCTCCTGCTTCTCTTGCTACGCCCTCCTCGTCCTCCCAACCACCACCACCACCACCACCTTCCTCATCCCCCGAATCCTGCTCCCTTCTCTGTCTCCTATTTCCTCTTCTTCCGTCACGCTCTTCGAATTACCTCTCACGTCGCCTCAACCTCTTCCTCCTCCTCCTCCTTCTCCTCCTCCTCCTTCTCCTCCTCCTCAGCCTCTGAATCCGACTGAGAAACTTAATGTTCATCCCCTTTCTCCTCCGCCTTCTCCTCCTTGTGAGCCATTCATGCTCCGATTCCTCGTCCTCCTACACATGCGCCACGCGGTTACCCGCGCTTTCCTCCGCATGCACACCCGCGGCCCGCAGCTGCATGCTGGCTCTCTGTGATTCATCCCCCCAGTTCGCACTCCCTCCCCCAACTCCTCTACCTCCTCTTCCTCATGCGACTTCGACTTTGACTCCGACTCCTCGTCCTCGTCCTCCTAGAGTTGTGCCTCTTCCATCTCTTCCTCCTCAAGGCTCAAGATGGTGGCGTTGTCAGGGTGATCCTCGGAGCCATCGTGGCCCTCAACGTGGTAGATGGGGAAGAAGAGGAAGGACCGGAAGGTAGACATCCTCCTCCCTCTCAGCCTCCAAATCCAAAAATTCGTCGCAGTCTTCCACCTCCTCTACTCTCTCCTCCTCCTCCTCCTCCTCCTCCTCCTCCTCCTCCTCCTCCTCCTCCTCCTCCTCGTCCGCCTCCGCCTCCACCTCCGCCTCCGCCTCCGCCTCCGCCTTCTCCTCCTCCTCCTCCTCCTCCTCCTCCGCCTCCTCCTCCGCACCCAACTCCATAATTCCTCAACATGCTGTGTAATCGTGAATCAACCTCTCTTCCCTGATGGTGTGTGAGCGTGGATCAACCTCTCCCCACGATGACTTTGCGCAAATCAAGTCCTGGATCACAAAACGTGATAGGGGGAGCAGGGGTAAAGCTGAGAGGAAGCAGCGAAGCCAGCACCCAACTATCGCCCCGTATGTGCGTGAAGTCAGCGACTTTCAAAGACCTAGGTGGGAGCCTCAGTACGAATGCTTACAACATTGTACCGGCGCAACAGTGGCGTGACCGAGAGGAGGAGGAGGATGAGGAGGAGGAGGAGGAGGAGGAGGAAGAGGAAGAAGAGGACGAAGAAGAGGCCGAGAACCAAGGCGCAAGCGCAGGTGAATGGCTGCCTTGCGAACGTGGCCAAAGATCAGCAGAATTGGCCCAGAGGCAGGGTAGGGCATGCTGAATGACATGCACCTGCGTGCAGCGATACTTCCCAGGGTGCTATTGATGCGAATGCCCTCAAAACTCGCCCCGACACCACGGGCAGAGGAGAAAGAGGAAGAAAGCGAGAAGAAGCGGTAGAATAAGCAAGGAGGAAACGCAAGACCCTTCTGGCACAGAGAATCACATCCCAAGCTCGCTGAACGTTAAACTTCGTGCAGGATCGTCGCAGCGAAATGAGACTGGCAAGGCAAAGAGCTGAATCCCAATAGCAAGTGAACGACGAATCGCAAAACATGACGTTGACATGTGTTTGCCACCAGGATGTTCTCTGTCTTCGAAATTCCACGAACAGTGCTTGCACTGAGGGGTTCGTTCTTCTAAGAAATTGGGTCGCCCGTCGGTGTGGCGGCTATGTGGTCACCGTCGCCGCCCCGTCGCCACCCGTCTTCTGGGCCTGCCCGCCGGTCTGGAGGCTATGTGGTCGCCGTCGCCGCCGCGTCGCCGCCTCGTCGCCGCCCGTCGTCTGGACGGCGGTGGCGGTCTGGCGGCTATGTCGCCGCTGTCGCCGCCCCTTCGCCGCCTCGTCGCCGCCCGTCGTCTGGGCCTCACAAAAATTACAACGCATGGCTTTTTTTGGTCGGAAAAGAAATTCACATCCCCCCGACCTTTCTATAGCCTCCCCCTGGGGTAATACAATTTACACACGATCTTGCCCCACCGTGCTTGCGGGTGGGTGGGTGGGACGATTGCGCGAGCAGTGGAGTGAACAACTCACTGCGAACAGAAATCAGATACACCACATTGATGGTACCACACAGCTTGCCCTACATATATTTCAACATATCGTATGCTAGAACACACTGCTTGGGGCCCGTGTTGGCCAACATGGCGTTCCCGCTACAGCGTTGGCCCCACTCCTGGATCGCCGCCTTGCTCCCGTCGTTCAGAATGGCGCTCTCGCCTCAGCGCGGGCCACATTTCGAGATCCGATTCGTTCCTCGTCACTGCGGCCCCACTGCTTTCCCCTCCTTCGCCACTCACCTAGTCACCCTGCAACTCCAACTCCTCCTGCTACTGCTGCTGCTGCTGCTGCTGCTCCTCCTCCTCCTCCTCCTCCTCCTTCAAGGCACCGCGCCGCATAGTTTCGGCGGTGGCGAGGTCGGCCGTGGCCGCTGCCGCTAGCGCGGCCGGGGCACCGCTGGCCGCGCCTGCTGCTGCCGGTGAGGCGCTGGAGGAGACGAATGAGAACGTCAAGCCACCCTCGGCGGCCAAGGTCGCCAGGCGCCGCCGCCGCAGGGCTTGGCTCGCCGCGGCGCGCGCGGAGGGGGCGCATATGGTGGATTCCAGGCGGCAGGGCCAGCTCAACGATGAGCAGAAGGCCTGCGGGCCCTGCTCCGGCCAGCTTGGGCCGCTCCTGGGCGCGGTCGCGCGGCTCCCGCTGGTGCGGAGCCGATGGTGGCGGGGAGCGGTGACGCGCCCAGCGGCGGCGGCGGCGGAGCCAGCAGCGGCAGGCGGAGCTGCAGCTGCGGCTGAGGAGCGCGAGCGCGCGATTGGTGGCGCGGTGCATGGCGGCGCCTGCTGCGTGCCCCAGCGTCATCGACGGCCTCTCGCTGGCCGAGGTGCGGTTCCGTGCCAAGCTGGAGAAACTGGAAAAGGCCGAAGGGCGCTGGCCCTCTTGGGCCCCACTACCACCCCGTCGCGGATGGGCCTCTGCATAGCAAGCCCCAGATGCGCAGTGGGCGTTCCCAGGGGCGGCCCTTGCCTTTCGGTCGGCTGCACGGATGCTCGTAGAAGCTCGGCTGCAATGCAGGCGGTTGTGTTCAGTACTCGTGTTCCGTTAGTGAGTGGCTGCGGACTCACAGCTGTCGCCCTGTCAACCTCCTCTTTCTCCTGCTCATGCTCCTCCTCCTCCTCCTCCTCCTCCTCCTCCTCCTTATCCTCCTCCTCCTCCAATATAAACAGCTTCCCTTTCTGATTGCGCATCACACGATAAGGACATTTGGGGGATCCAGGTCCGCTGGGACGCCCGTCGGCGCACAGAGAAGAATCACCGCAATGAGAGAAGACGGGTGGGAGGGGGAGGATGTCAGACATGGCGCGAGCGCACCAAGCTTGCATATTTCCCCTCTCCCTTCTCCTCCTCCTCCTCATCATCATCCTGCTGTTCCTCCTCCTCCTCCTCCTCCTGCTTCGCTTCCGACTCCAAATCCTTGTCATCCGCATTCACATCCTCCTCCTCCTCCTCATCATCATCACCACCATCATCATGATCATCATCAGCATCAGCATCATCATCAGCAGCAGCATCAACAACATCATCATCATCATCATCATCAGCAGCATCATCATCGTCATCATCATCAGCAGCAGCATCATCAAGAACAGCATCATCAACTTCAGCAACAGTAGCATCACCATCACCACCGTAACGATCATAGACGACATCCTCCAGATCATCATTTCTAACAATCGCAATCACCATGCCCATCATGATAATCCTCTGTCTCATCCTCATCCTCATCATCCAGCCTTCCCTTTTCCCCGCCCCCCCTCCTCGACCAATTCCGACTCATGTTACTCCTGCGTGTGCGCTCTCGCGTGTCTGTACGCTTGTATGTGTGCGTGTCTTCGCGCTTATGTGCAAGCGTGAACGTGTAAGTTTGAAGATGGCTGTGCGTTTGCGCCTCAAGGCGGACCATCATGCCTACG